CGGGTGGGGACGTGGGCCCTGCGGGCACAGCCTTCTGGGAAGGGGCTGCTGTTCACCGTCACCCCGTGCGTGCAGCAGCCGGACGTCCGGCGGGGGCCGGGCCTTCCCGCCTCGCGGGAGGGGTCGCCGCGCCGCCACGCTGTGCGAGGTGGCATCAGTTGAGTCTGAGAGTTCGGAACTGGGCCCAGAGGGGCTGGACGTCTTGGGTCCGTCTGCTCGACCAGGGGTGGGGCCTCACAGACCGCTCCATGGCTGGATGCCGCTACTGATGCAGAGACGAGACCACTCAGCCCCCTGCCAGGCTGCCTCGCGTGGACTCTGTAGGGCCCTGGCCCAAGCCCACGTTGGCTCCCTCTCCTGGGTGACACGCTGCTCCTTCGGTCTGTCACACCAGTCGGCCTGCTCACCCGTCTTCGTCTTGCAAAAATGCAAAAGGCCTGGCGTAGTGGCTCCCGCCTATAACCCCAGCACTTTGGGAGGTGAAGGCGAGAGGACTGCCTGAGCCCGGGAGCTGGAGACCAGCTTGGGCAATTGGGTGAGGCCTCGTCTCGTACTACAATGAATCAAAAAATTAGCTGGACGTGGTGGCACGCACCTGTGGTTTCAGCTACTTGGAAGGCTGAGGCGGAAGGACCGCCTGAGCCCAGCAGGTCGAGGCTGTGGTGGCCGTGAGTGTGCCACTGCACTCCAGCCTGGGCGACAGTGAGACGCTGACTCAAAAAAAAAAAAAAAAGGCAGAACAGTCCCTTGAGCTCTTGCTGATGGGACCCAGCGTGCCGACCACACAGGGCCCCACCGAGACCGTCTGGGGAGCACCCTGCCCAGCAAGGAGGCACGCAGTAGGCACTTCACCAGGCCCACACGATCTTGACAGGCAATGTCCATCTTCGGTGCAGGACAGGTCGGCGTGTCATAGACAGGACCAGAGCCGCCACCAAGATCTGCCGCCATCTCCCTGGGGCACTCCCGGCTGTCCACCTCTGCCCCCGGCGGTTTGGAAATCAGACCAGCCACGTGCATCTGACATCCAGAGGCAGACGTCACAGGCGTCCCCCGGTCCATCTGAAGGGCCGCCCGGACCATGGCACTGACACAGCGCTTTGCTCTCCAAGCCTGGCGTTGCCTAGGACGTGATTCACCCAGAGTAAACAGCAGTTTGGGTGAGTGAATGCGGCTGTTTATTTTCCTATCTGCAAATAATCTGGGAAGGCAAACTGGGGAGGGCTGGGAGCTGCTCCTGGTCGGCGGGCACCGCTCACGTCACAGGGCCATGTTGTCCTGGCGGCTGGGGGTGGGCTTGCCCAGCCAGGCTGCCAGCGGGGAGCTTTCCGGGGTCCAAGCGAGGTCCCTCTCACCTCCAGCCCCTGCAGGTCTGGGCTTCTCCCAGCTGGAGAACATGCCATGCTCCTGGGTCATCCTGCCCCCCCACCCCGGGGTACATCGGGCAATGTCAGGAGAATGCCTGGTTGTCACCCGGGGGTGGTGCGCCTGTCCCCTAGCGGGCAGAGGTCAGAGATGCTCCTGGACTTCCCACAGGGCACAGGACAGAGTGACGCGTCCCCCCGCCGCCCTGGTGCCAGGGCCCCAGGCCACACGCCCCTGGCTCCTTGCCAGCCCGGGAAACAAACAGGCAGGCACCACACTGGGGTTTTTACCAGTTTTATTTCTAGACTTCTCATGTTTTGTCTTTTGTTTTCTGCTGGAAACGTGCCGGTTACATGTCCGTGCCGGGAAGTGCCGCGGTGCGCAGCCAGAAAGACACAGAGCCAGACCGCCCGCCGGCCGGCCGGCCGGAGACCCTCGCAGACGTGCGTGTCGCAGGACAGGGACTCCGCGGTGCCCCGTGGACCTGCCACCAGCCTTGGGCTCTGGGCACACACAACCTCCGAGACACGCGGCCCTCGCCCCGTCCCCCTGGACGCAGCGTCCCTCAAGGCCCCGCGTGGAAGGGCGGAGGCCAGCGGTGTCCCGGAGGGGCATGGGTGGACCCCGCTGGGGGGGGAAGGACGGGCCCCAGCCACACGCGGGTGGCCCTCAGACGGGTGTGATTTCTTTTGGTTTGGCAGCTTGCTGGGCGACTGGGACACGCAACACTGTGAATTGGGCTTCATTGAGATATGGAGTCTCTTTAAATTAGCATCACGCTGTAATTAACAGAACGACAAGAAACACGACACGAGTACATGACAGATTAAACACCAAAAACTTGGACAAACTCCAGAAGCGATTCCAATCATCCCGAATGACAGAGTCCTACGGGCGCAGCACCACGGGTGGCACGTAAGACATTTGTTATAATAATAATAATAATAATAATAATAATGCAACTTTCATAACTACACGCAAGGAATGATACAGCTGTCAAAACTACTATGATGATACATCCCAGGTCGAGTGGAGCGTCCAGCGTTAACAGGCATAAGGGAAAGAAAACGGACAGACGCAGCCCGGTCTCCGGAGACGCCCGACTCCCTTCCCCCCCAACCCTCCCACGGCGGGCCGGTGTGGGATCTTGTCCGTCCGCACGTCCGTCTGCCCGGGCAGACTAGACCCTGACCGCCGGGTCCACACATGGCTAAGTGAAGCATGAGGTAATTGTGACACAGGAACCTTTTTGGAATAGAGCAGTAAATCACATTAAGTCAAAACTGATCACATAAAAAAAAAAAAAAAAAAAAAAAAAAACCCTACAAAAAAGGCATCTGCAAGACAATCTTCTACGAGAAAATTAAAACTAGAACATGGCAGTATATGACATCGTAAAACAAAACGAAAATTAAAAAAAAAACTGGATCTCCAATAGCAGCAAAACAATGTGAAAGAGACAAGAGAGAAGCAACGTGAAATCTGTTTCCAAACCGTGCCGGGACACCATCCGTAGCAGGCGCAGCAAGAAAACAGAGCCTAGCCTGTCCCTGGGGCGGCGACCGCCCCTTCCCGCCGGGAGCCTCCTTCTCAGGCCTCTTCTCGCCACCCTCCCTCACACCATCGTCCCCCACGCGCTCGCCACCTCGTTTCAACACTTCCTCCGTAAAAACGACAAGGTTCGCAGCCAAGATGTGCAAATCGCCTACCTGTTGCGAATGCTTTTTTTTTTTTTTTAAAGGAGGGGGCCGGGACTGAGAATACGTCGGAACTGCGCCTGCTTCAGCGTCCCCTCTTTTCCCGGTGGCTCCGACGCCTCTCAGGCCGGGCCCCGTTGGGGAAACTTGGCCGAACAGGCTGAAACGATGTCTTGGTGTGCCCTACCAAAGGCCCTATCCTGTGGAAATAGTACGCGCCCTGCAACATCAGAGGCAGAAAGGTGTGTGTGTGTGTGTGTGTGTGTGTGTGTGTGTGTGTGTGAGTGTGAGTGAGAGAATCGAGGGGAGATTGCATTACTTATAAGTCATACTGGCCTTCTGAACATCCTCTGCAATAAATATTCTCTTTAGCCTATAAATTATATATTTTAGTGTTTAAAAACCTTCCGTGGTGAAACATCTCCAGGTCACCCTTGAGCTGCCTGTCCTCTTGGTAAACCTCACAGGTCCCCACTTTGAAACACCAGTCGGCACCAAAGGGTCCCTAAACCTCAGCTTCTTTAGACAAAGGGAAAGGAACGTCTGTTATCATCCTGGCAACGTGAGAATGCAGGTCTCTCTCTTCCCAACTGCAGCAAAGCCTTCCAAACACCCGCCTGCGCTCACACCACAGCCACGTGCACGCGCCCCCAAATCCTGCTTGCGCACGAGTGCGAGAAAATTCCCAAACCATTCCATCAGAAAACCGCCCTTCCTCCGCACACAGCGTACACCGCGATACTCCCTACAACTACTCGCCCGAAAGTGCTTTGAAATGGAATGGTTTTAGAATATCGAGGAGGAGAAGAAGAAGGAACAAAAGAAAAAAAAGAAAAAAAGACCCAGCCTCCCATAAACAGGTCACTACAAAAATAGGAAGATTATAAAAATACAATGTATTATGTCGCTATGTCATCTTCTCTTCCTAGTAGCGGGTGGCAAGGGTCCGGGCCGCTGGCCTGCCTGATACCGCCACGCCGGCCGGGGACCCCAGGGGGGCGCACGCCCACCAAGAGGGGCTGGGAGGTGGTGGCAGCCCGAGGACACCCTACCACGCACGCTACCCTAGCGAGAGGTGACATCGACCATCCGTAAGGTGAAGAGGCTACACGTCTACCTACAAAATAACATACACATACACATGGCTTATAAAGTGACTACATGCGTGAGCGAGATACTGAATGCCTAGAGCTCACTAAAGCCGTGCTCCTCGGGGGAGGCCCGAGGATCACGTTTTCAAAAAACTACCTAAAACCCTCTTCTACTTTAAAAAATGGTTTGCTGAATTTTTTTTCTATTTTTTAAAAATGTTTTTATGCTTTTCTTAAAAAAAAAAGTAAGAAGAATCAACACTAAGGCTTCCCTGGACTCTTCGTGTTAATGCCTATTCTTACGACACTGAGACAGGAACATTAACAGAAAAACTAGTTGATTATTGGGGTGTAAAAGTCATCTATTTTTTGTAGCACAAACCTCCCTCTTCCCCTGCCACTCGGGGCTCTGCAAATACTATTTCTTGTTCTCTCTCTCTCTCTCTCTTTTTTTTTTTAAAAAGACTTTTTGGGTAATTTTTTTCTTTTGCTGAAGTCAGAGACAGAAAGAAGAAAGAGCAAAAGGAAAAAAAAAAAAACCCAGCAACAACAAGAAGAATGAAGCGTCCCCTTCTGGTAGCAAAACGTCCCGGAGAAGAGGGACCCTTGGGAGCACTTGGGGCCGCCCTCCCCCCACCGTGGGTGGCGGTGGCGCCCGCCCGCCCCCTCAGATGTCCACGTCCCGCACGTCGGTGGGTGTGCAAGCCAGGTCCACCTCCTCCTCCTCCTCCTCCTCTTCCTCCGCGGCCTTGGGGTCCAAGTTCTGCTGGGCCTGGCGCAGGCTGGACTCCAGCAGGGCTTCGATCTGCTCCTGGCAAGCCCGGAGGCAGTCCTGGAGGAGGCCGGAGGGAGGGGACAAGGTGCTCAGGAAGGGGCTGCAGCGGGCCCAATCCTGCCGCGACCTGGCCACACCGTCACCAGCTGACCGAGCGCCCACCCTGTGCCTCTCCTGTCTGCCTCCCTGGTGCCCCCAACAGGGCTGGGCCCCTGGCTGGAATTCCTCCCTGGGGCACCAACCTCCTGTCCTGCACGCACCCTGGTGAGCTAAGCTCGAGCCCTATCTGAGTCGGACAAGGAGGCCCGTGCCCTGCCTTTTCAGACATGGCCTCTGCCACGTGGCAGCCCAAGGTGAACCCAGCCTTCTGTCAAAGCACGAGGCTGGGCGGATGCTGGGGGACCCCGCGGACCTGGACCCTACACCTCTCTGGCCTCTCCCATGCGGGCCTGCATCCTGGGCTCCCAGGCGTGTACGGCGTGGTCACCTGCTGCAGCCACAGAAGCTTCCGGGACCCTGCATTGCCACCCTCACTGGGTGCAAATTCCCTGGGTGGCAGCCAGGATGAAGGAGCCACGGAGCCCAGGGCCTCCATGGGGCACATCTCCCGTGGCTCTGGTTCAGGCCGTGCAAGTCCCAACTGCCAGGAAGCCACGTCGGGGCTTTTAGAACTAACCGAAGCCTACAGTCAGCTGGGAAATGCAGACTTTCCACAGGAACAGGGTTCGGCTGGGTGCGGTGGCTCAGCCTGTCACCCCAGCACCTTAGGAGGCTGAG